TTCGAAGCCAGCCTCAGCCACTGAATGAGGCCCTGGGTAACTTAGTGAGACCCTGTCTCAAAATAAAAATTAACAGGGCTGGGGAAGCAGCTCAGTGGGAAAGCACCCTGGGCAGCACTGGTTCTATGAGAGCACTGGAATGGTATCTTCAAAGGTATAAAGGAAAGACCTTCAAACTTGAGATTTATACACAGGTAGATTATTTAAATACAAGGGTGAAATAAAGATATTTTAGGCATATAAGGCCTCAGAGGTCCTATCACACAGTCTTTCTTAAAGTATTCTAGCCAGAAAAAAATACATATTGTAGAAAATACTATAAAAATAGGAAGAGCAAGTAAATAACTTCAGTTTACTACTAACTAAATAAGGTAAAAACAAGACATACAAGAAAGTAAATCTATAACAATCCAGAATTATGAACTTCTTTAGAAAAGAAGTACTTTTTTTTGAGAAGGTAGAAGATAGAAATAAAAACACCCAAGATATTCATCATTTTAGAAAGAGGGGGGGAATGCATACATTTAGAGGTTAAAAAAAATCAATAGGAAAAACAAACATCAGTATAGATATCCAACTAATGATTAAAGACAACTACCAGAAGAATGAAAACAGACATGTACGTGACTTTCAGAAGCTGGGTGTGGTGGTGCATACTTCTATTACCACACTTAAAAAATGAGATATCTCCATCTTTAAAAACAGAAAATTCCAGATCCCTTGCCTCCTTCCTATTATAGTTCATTTTCTCTGTTTCTCCTTACAGCAAAATCCTTAAAAGTGCGGGATGGGGTGTAGCTCCTGGGAGAGCACCTGCCCAGCATGAGTAGGGGTTCAGTCTCCAGCACCGCAAAAAACAGAGGATGTGGGAGCCTTGAAATAGCTGTCTCTGTTCACCATCTCTCTCCTCCTCTTGCATGTCTCCTCACTATGCTCCGAATCAGTCTTGCCCAATGACACCACCCTCTTGAAGACCTCCAGTGACCTCTCACTTTGCTAAATCCAACCATTACTTCTTAGCCCTCACCTTATTCAATCTTTTGATTCCTTTCTTGAAACAATGTTCACTTTGCTTCCATCAAACTTCCCTGCTTTTTCTCCTTAATGGCTATTCAGTCCCGATCCTCTCTGCCAAGTCCTCTCAGTCCCTGAACCTCTAGAAACCATCCTCGGTTCCCTCCTCCATCTACCTTCACTTGAGCAATGACCTCAGTTGGTCTGGAAGTTTTAAGTGTCTTCTATCTGCTCATGACCTACCTGCGTCTCTCCATCCAGATCATTCCTCTGAAGTCCACATAACTACGTCCAACTGCCTACTTAACATCTCCGCAGGCTGTCTGACAAGCACAGCAAACTTAGTTTTCTTCTAAGTCTGCCCCTACTTCAGAGGAAAAGGCTGCATCAACGTTCACTTCATTGCTCAAGCCCAAAGCCTAAGCTTCGCCCTTAACTTTTCTCTTAGTTTCTATCTTTTCTCACCACCCCCACCACTATCCTCTTGGTCCAAGTCACGCTGAAGTACAACAACTGAACCTGCTCACCAAGCTTACTCTTGCTCACTAAAGTTGGCAAAATAACCAAAGACACATTTTTTTTCTTTTTTTAAATAAAAGTAATTAAGATTTGTTATTTTCTTGCTCAAAACCTTCCGATAACTCGTTACACCTACAGTTAAAAACAAACCCCTGCAGGACTGGCTCAGTGGTAGAGTGCTTGCTGGGCATGACCTAGGCACTGCAAACAAACAAGCCAACAGCACCCTCCCACACCTGTAAGCTGTACTAGTCCCTGCCACTATATGGCTTCCTTACCCACAATTCCTGGCCTGGCCAACTTTTCTTTAGTCAATTCTTGCTGTTCCTCAAACATGTCAAACATATTTCTAAGGGTCTTTGCTTTTCCTGCTCCCACTTTTGGATCACTCTTCCAGATTTTCACGTTCTCCCACTTCATTCCGGGTTCTGCTCAAATGCCACTTCAAGAAGCCTTCACTGACCTGCCCACGAGGGCTGCTGGCCTCCGTCATGCCCTCTTGCTGTGCCATATACACCACTTAACAGTAGCCATGCTGTTTATTCTCTAGCTACAGAACCTATGAAGGCAGGAACATGGTCTTTTTCACTGCTATACCCTCCATGCCTAGAATGTTGTCTGGCACATAGTAGGCACCTCATTGATATTTTTCAGGTGAATACTGGCTGATAATCTCAGTGTTAGATCTTTATGCATCTATCCACTCAATGCTAATGATCCATCCTCTACCCCACTAAAATTGAGTCAGATAAGAACAAAAGATACATGACAAAGTGTCTCAGACACAACAATCTGGAAGAAAACAGACACTGATGTACATATCACCAGATTAAGGAATAAGATTTTTAAAATGTAGTTGAGGACTGGGGTTGGGGCTCAACAGTAAAGCATTTGCCTAGCACATGTGAGGCACTGGGTTCAATCCTCAGCACCCATATAAATAAATAAAATATAGGCATAGTATCCACTTACAACTAAAATATATATGTATGTATGTCAAGCCCTACCAATCCCCATTCCACTGTGCCAACCCAATAACTAGTTTGACAAAATCTCAAAGAC